CTTATGGTGTGCATTGTTCAGCAGGCTGGAAGGTCACATCATGACAGAACACAAGTAAATCAGCACTGCTCAACCCCAAGACAGGACTGCCTGGACGTTGCTGATTTTACCAGAGAAGGACCATGGTATTTTCATGAATGTATGAGTCCGTTAGCTTATGCTGCACCACAAAGCATTCTCCTTATGGACCGGTGAATCCGTCCATCACTTCCTGCTGTATCTTCTGTTATGTCCTTTTCATCCACGAGAAAGGAGTCTTGCTTATGATTTATGCTCTCATTTTTGGCACTGGGTGCTTTCATCTATCATGGATCCGGATAGCACAGCCCTTTAGTTTATTATTTATATTGTGAAGCAGTCACAAGTCTGCTAAATTAAGTAATTGCCTTAGCAATGATACATCCTCGACCACCACAGTTGTGCTCCTCTGCATAATCCCAGATGTTCGGGAAGTCACAAGCTTTGGGACGAGGGGTTCCTGGTCTGTAGAAGCCTTCACAATCTCCTGATGATTCAAATTGAAGTTTCATTACTGCCGCTGTTCATGAAAAGAGGGAGCATGCAGGATTTGGGTTAAACAAATCTCGTATTACTGAATGTTAGTTTACATGTCATGCATGTCACAAAAGAGGACAGCGGGCCAAGGAATACTCATAACTAACATGCAGAAACAACCCTGCCACCATTTCAGTGCATTCAAGTACTCATGCAAAAGGTAACTTGTGGGGTTTACCAATTCATTGCTTTAGAGAACTTTGGTCATAAGTTAAAATCTGACTTTCTGCTCCTGGGGAATCAGGTGGCTGGTAACCCTACAAAATGATAGGACAACTTTTCTGTAAATGAAATCCCTTAAAATAGCTTTTATTTATCAATTTATCACAACAGAAATTGTCCAAGCACACCGCTATATACAATGCTGCTCTTCCATAGAACTAGCATCGCTATTGGGAATCAGGCAATGCCAGTCTCCTGTGGGGCACAGTAGCCTCAGCAATGGTTATTAACAGCCTTCCAGAGGAGACCCTTACAAAAACAAGAAGTAGCATATCAATGTAACTTACTTAATGGAAGTATTATACTCTCTAATAGAGTTCTGGGAAACGTTGTAGCCTCCCTAGCGGTCTGATTATATCAGTATTTCTGTGCTCAAAGCAGTAAATTTTTTTGCATAGAAATATGTATTTTTTTTATTGTAGACCTGTAATTTTTAGGAATAACTCACTGAAATCTGTCCGAACAAAAGTCTAGTAAACATCCCGGGTATGTTAAAATTTGAAGAACGAAATCATAAATTATAATTTAATAAATAATCATAAAAAATAATAATATAATAATAATAATACATTTAATTCAATAATATAAATCAAACCAAAAACACTGAAATTTGAAATAGAGCGCCATGTTTGCACATCACTGAGCAAAGTCGCAAAATCGTTTTCAGTGTCTGATGACGAATTTCCCCACGAATCATTATCACTCAATTCTGTAAGTAGTTCTAATTTACTATCGCTGTTCTCTAGCTGGTCTAAAACCGCTTTTGACCTAAAGTGACGCTTTTTGGACGCTATGGACATTTCTCAGTTTCCAGGTAGAAAGAACAGTAAAAATGCAGGCAGGGCACAGGACAAAGCACTAGGGACAAAATGTATGTGAAATGGTTTGATACAATTTTTAAATTTCCTGCGCCGTTCCATCCCCGTACGTCGCAGGGAACGGAACCCAGAAGATGGATGCCGGCAGAGGCCGAAGGACATTGCCGGGGACACTGCGGGAGTGAAGGACAAGGTAAGTGAAGAATAGATCCCAGAGCAACGCTGCAAGGTATTCCCGAATGTAGCTCGGGGTTACCGCTTGTGGTGCTGAAACTTTACCCCGAGCTACACTCAGGAATACCGCCAGGGAGGTTAAACAAGTATATTCTTAAAATAGCAAAAAATGTATGTCTACTTTTATTTTATAACTGAAGCATCAGAGTTTGGTGAACAAGTTAAAGTGATTGTAAAGGTTTTTTCCTTTAAAATAACAAACATGTCATACTTACCTGCTCTTTGCATTGGTTTAGCACAGAGCAGCCCGGATCCTCCTCTTCTGAGGTCACCCGTCGACATGCTCCGGGCTCCACCTGCCTTCTGGGTGCCCCCATAGAGCTTGATCCCAAACCGCACTATATGTGCCTGTTGACACACACAATGTGGCTCGGTTCTGACCCCGACTCCCGCATCACTGGATTTGCTTGACAGCTGCAGGAGCCAATGGCTCCCATTGCTCTCACTGACTTCAGTGAGGAGGGACAGAGAGAGCAGTGCTGCTGTTCTCAAGCACAGCGCTGGATCAAGATCAGGTATTGGGGTGGGGTGGGAAGGGAATGGAATGGAATGAAATGAAGGGGGGGGGAGCTGCCTATAAAAGGTTTTTGACCTTCATGCAGAGAATACATTAGTGTAGAAAACCTTTATCCTTTACAGCTACTTTAATGTCGCATCACACTTGTTGACAACCACTAAGAAAAAAAGAAAAGGAATTCAGAATACATCACAATAGAACCTGCCTTCAGAGATCTGTATACTAGTTGAATGGTTTATGCTCCATCTAAGTAATCCTCTGCTCCTCAGATTAGACACACATAACAGGAACTTCTATGTGCATATGACAAGTAAGTCCTCTTCTGAATTGGATTCTGTTCAAAGGGTACCATCAACTGAGCTTTCAATTTCAGAATTAACTCCAACTTATTGACTGGCCTGAGTTAAACTGAAACTCTAGATTTTTTTCAGGCAGTATTAAAGCATATCACAAATCCTTTACTGGCGCATTAAATGCAGGTACCAAAAGCAGCCCCCAATATCATTCAGTTACAGTCAAATCCCAGTTTCTAAACATCCTAATAAACGATGAAGCTTTCCAATCTGCCTTCTGCTCAGTGCAATAGCCCACCGATGCAGCCCATCATAGTGATGGGCTAATAGGAATATATAGAAAGGGGGCTGGGAGGTGGGGGGCTGGAGGAAATGTAAGCAGTAAGCTTTGACATGACTGAAGTGTCAGGGCTGTGCCTGTCACAACAGCCTGGCATTCAGAGGAAGCAGGGGTTACTGTTAGCTGCTACAGGTATGTGCCTGAACACTGGGGTACCTGCATTTCATAGCTTTCAGCAGCTTTTTTTTTTTTTTAAATTACACAGTCTCCTTAAAGGGAAGCCAGCTCTGATCCACTTAGGAGCTGACATTCTATATTGTTTAACCACACTTGCCATGAATTTTCATATTACAGTTGGCACTGATCCTGTATGAAATGCATGGCCCTATGCACCTTATCTTATTATTTACTACTCATTTATCCCTAATGCAAATATTTCTTTAGTATACTTACTCAGAGTCTGAAGCCTCCCCATTTGTAGGTCCAACTTGTACACTCATAGCCATGCCATTGACTTGCTCTCGAGAATGATCCCTTCGTGCATTTTTTATAGTTGTCGCTGTGTCTGTAACTGGACGGATGCCATCATTTGAACATAGTGAGGACGTCCTTGATGAAATAGTACTTTGATTATAGTCCAATTTATCTCGTAAACGGTTTTTCATATTTTTGTCTGTCAAAGGAGGAGGGTATGTGACTTTATTTTTCAGTATACCTGTTAAAAGAATTATTAAAAAACATTTAAATCAGCAAGAATTGCATAACAATGGCATCGTACCCTACTATTACACAATACTTGCAAAAGTACCATTATCTACCCAGTAGAATGCATTCTACAGTGGAAGATGTCGTCTGTATACCTAAATGCTTTCTTTTGTTTCTCTCTCATAGAATGCATGTATTCTTTCCTATAGTCCTATACACAACTGATCTGATTTTAAAGGTTAGGAATAGTACAGTTACAGAAGGTGTTTATATAGACTGTATATGATTTTTGTTTTAAATTTTGTTTTAGTGTTGTGATTTTATAACCGCTCTTTTCCTGTTCTGATTTTCAGACCTTTGCTATAATAACTGAACAGAGCACAACTATACAAAACTGAGTAGAAGGGCTTGAGTAACAAGTGTTATCAATCATGTAATATGTTGAAAGGGATTAGCATACTCAGCACCATTTCTATCACAGATATCTTTATAATAAGAAGACTGAATTTACAGCATGACATGGACAAGATTAGCTCATAACATATGATTGCACATCATCACTAGAAATACACTGTACAATAGGCCATGGGTGACAAAGTGTGAACAAGTCAGGTATAGCCTTTGTTCTGTAGAGTAAACTTGACTCATTAAGTAAATAAAATGGGCAGGACAGCTATAAAGGGAACACATTCATCATTGTCTGAGCATTATTGTTGTATTGTTAAGATTTATTAATGTTCAAAAAGGTTTCAGCTGATTCCAGTGGACAAGTCTTAACTCTTAGCTAGTTTGGTATGAACAAACATATAAGCACATTTTCATACAGAAATGTAACATATTTTCTGGTGTCATTACACCTCAGTGTATGTTGTGAATTCTTCACCAAAAGTGGAGATAATCCTATACGTGGAGCATAAGATAACATAATGTCCGAGTATGCTTTCCTTTCTTCTGATATTTCCTGTTGTTGCTATTGACAATGTTTGGTGAATGTCAAATGTTTAACCACACTTGCCACTCATCATATGCCCTTTAGGGAATCATTATATAAAACATAATGCTCGGTGGTCTTTAGATATTATTTTGTAGATTAGGGACTTATGATTCCATGTTCAAATCCAAAAACATGGATCCTATGAAATACTATCAAATATTAGCATAAAAAAAAAAAAAAAAAAATTACCTTTTCTTAGTTCTGGCTGTAGATTGTTGTGATTGTTGACCACCTTGCCCTCCTTGGTCTGTGCTTCATTCTCCTTGTCATGAGGTACCTCTCCACAGTGATTAACCTTGTTTTCATTATGAAGCTCAACGTTCACTTTGGTCTCTACTTTTCAGTGTACTTTTGCCCCCTTGATCCTCACTGTCACTGGCTGTCATGCAGTCAGCAGGCCAGTATGGTTTAACGTGATTTGGTACTGAATCCACTGCAGGAAAAAAGTAAATTCAGTTTTTAATTATCCCTTTTGCACTAAAACAGTGCAAGAATTTGCAGAGCGGGTGGTCTATTTTATTGGATGCTAGTGCTGCAAGACCAAAAAAAAAAAAAAAAAAAAAAGTACTGTTCATGTGCATTATTCAGTTAGAGTAACTACACATCTATGGCATGTGCATTATATGCGTGCAGAGACAAGCCTGGGTTCATACAGAAGAGTAGGGAAACCACATGCGATTTGGACAGGAATCGCATTTCTGTTCAAATTGTATGCTATTATTTGCAGTGCAGTTTGCAGACATACATTTTGCATTGACGCAAATCACACTTCAAAGTACCGGTAATTACTTGACCGACAGTATCGGTACTCATCGATCAAAAAAGGGTATTGTTGCATCCCTACACTGAAGTCCAAAGTATCTGGCTATGAATGTGCAATGAAGAACTATGAAGATTTTTAAGGAAGTTTTGTGCTGTCAGGTAGGCTGCATCTCTGGGGAACTATTTTCAGATAAAATATTTCAGATTTGCACAGACTGGGAAGGAGGAGAAAGTGGAGGTACAGATAGTTCTGGATAGTGCCTATAACCTGAGAAAATGGTCACAAGATTTAAAGTACTATTTACCTTTAGGTGTACTATGCACCGGCCCACGCTCATTGTTTTTAGGGCTGGTTGGCTTCCACTGCTGCTCTGTTTCAATTTCTTCATCCTCACTATCAGAAGAGCGAGAAGAAGCATAAGAGCTGCTATGTTCATCAAGAGATAACTCGCTATCTGAGTCAGAATCATGTCCTGCAGATAAATAGATTTGTACAGTAAGTATCAAGAAAACCAGGCATATCTATTTCTTTAATCTAATATAGACTAGGCGTCTCACCATGGGAACGTGTTCGGTTTCTGTGGAAATGTGCAGAATCCACCTCTGTAACACCAGCGCGGGTCTGTCCTGAAGACATACTGAGCTGCTGAGCAGCTTCATCCCTGTATCAGGAAATGGTACAACTAAATAAATGCATTGCTAAATTACAACAAGAAATAGCCACCAATTATTATACAAAATTGAAGTTAAACCAGGACATGCACTGGATTACAGAACACAGGCAAGCAGCAAAGAAAAGCAAGATCTATTAGGCTTTTTTATATAGCTGTTTAGCTGAAAAAAGTTTTTCTGTGATTGTTATTTTATTTTGATACCTGTATTTGTAAGATATCTGGAAGTGATGGTAATACAATACTGTTCTGTTTGGGTGCAAAAACAGCTTCAGGTAATGACAAGCTTCAACAAAACTATGCTCTCCATTCTATACTCCCACAGACAATATTGCACTCTGCGTATATATCACAGAAAAAAACCCCAAAACATTGTTTTACTCAAAACTCTAACTGGATACAGATATGATTACAATGGATACAGTAACAGAACAAAAACATGCCAATAATAAAGAGCATCAAAGGAAGCAGCGTTTATTCAGTCTGATTTCTGCTTTGTCTTTTCAAGTACGGAGGTATTGTGAAATATTTCCAATACTGAATTAACTGTGACAGTTTAATAGGGGGACTCTGGTGAATTCAATACTAACAACCTTACCTGGGAAAACCTGGGATTAACCTTGTTGGAAATTGCTATCCAGATATGGATGTACGATGTACGTGCTGTGATCTGAGCAGTTCCTTGGATTAGGGTAGGTCATATACAAAAGTGTGGATTAAGCTGCCTATAAATGGATCAAAATTTGGTAGGTTCAACAGGGACTGGCCATATTTTGATCCATGTGTGGGCACTGTGGTTGTACAAGTTGATCCGCCGATCTACTTCTGTACACCTGCCCTGTTGGCTATGTCTTGCAGCAATAATCAGTGTATTCTGGTGGCGGAGAAGTCTCCCCACTGTCAGAATATAGAGACTCAGTGGATGGGGGAATTGGGTCGGTTTTTTTGTTCAACCCGCCGGTTGAACAAAAAAAATATATATATATATACGACTAATGTGTTATGCAATGTGGGTCTACAAATATAATTAATCTTTATCATATCCTGACAACAACTGCCATGTCAACCCTAATGTGTATGAGAACAATTTGCAGAAAAGTATAATTACATTGTCAAATCACAGCTTAGAAAATAAAGCTGGAGACATGAATTAAGCTGGTTTATTGCTGATTGCAAACACTTGGCAACTAAACAGGATATCTAGCCTGTATCTAAGGGCAGTAGCCCCATTTTTCTTTTCAGAGTGTTCAAAAGTCTACATCTATATACATTAGGGCTGAAAAAAGGATGAGCTTGTGTTAGATTTACTTTGCTGTAGTGTCAGGCGGTGGGAAAGCCAGCCATGCAGAAAGCAGAATTTATGCTTTTGTTAAATGCTGAAAGATTTGATAGCAATATCTGCAATTTTACCTGAACACACTGGGCTCTCTGTAGCATGAGAACGTCTAATAGCAGCAGAAAACAAAAAAATGATGTTTTTGTACTGACATCCAGTACTTTGGGAATATTGCAAAGTGTATTCTCATAAGACGGTATTTTTGGTCTATTCCTTGAAAAATAGATAGCCAAGCGCTATGCACCCACCACCGCATTACCTGAGGATATAAGCAAGGTAGCTATTGTGGCTCTTGGCTGACCTGACGGTGCTCTCCAAGGAGACTGTGGACTCTCCAATTCCCGTTCTGTACATGTTAGAATCATCCATATATGTGTTGTTGCAGTTTAAGGTTCGCTAAACAGAAAATAAGACATCCATAAATAAGGTTCTCATCACTTAAATAATCTTCCATGTCTATTAAACCTTAGGAGGCACACCATCACTTTTGTTCTCAAAGGCAGATTATTAGACCTTTTCTGCTTAAAAGGTATTGTAAATTATTTTATTTTATAGCGATATCTTACCTTCTCATTAATGTTATGAACATGCTCATTGAAGCACATGGGCAAGGATCCTATAAACATCGCTTCTCTGTAAATATGCTTTTGTTAGCCCACTGTGTCCAAATGATTTAAAGAATGACGCACAGTAACTGAATACCAAACAACCAAAAGTCAGCTTGCATATTTTACACTCACTGCACAGAAAGGGCTTACTAATAGGCCAGCAGTTTTGTTAGGAGTTTTTCTTGCTGCTATGCAAGTCTACAGCATGAAAATACAGCTCCTTCATTCAGATTACAATGTCAGCGTACCTTACTGCACATTTATGATGTGCACACTAATTACGTGCAAAGTATTCCAAGTAATCCTATTACAAATACCACATGACTAATATAAGCTAAATACCATAAATACACTGCTATGTCCTGACTGTATTTTTCTGAAGAAACTTTAACACAAAGAAGAAAATAATAATACAAAATATATATATACTGTTTACTTAGGATTATCCTCAAATCCTACCAAAAAACAGTAAAAAAAGGAAAGGTCATGTTTTGGAAGGTCTGAAGAAGGAGCCTATTGAGCATGCCCCGAAATGCATTACCGTCCCCTTCACCTCCTACATCCGACTCTGCTCTCCTAGCTTCATTTTGATGAACAGGCACATCCTGGGCTCTACTTCCTGATCCTATAGACAGAGTTTGCTGCTGGACGGCTGGATGTCCCACCTGGATCTAATTACCACACGATGAGTCTTTTTAACTATTTATCTTGTAAGTGCAATTTATCCATTGTTTACTAAATAAATTGTCAGTACTGCACTTAGAGGCACCTTCCTCTCTTTTTCTTGTTACTGCATTAGAGCCTTGCTTCCACTCTAAGAAGAGCTGCCCCAGTGTTACTGCTCCCATCCATCCCTGATATCCATCTAGCACCTTTACACTACAGCTACAGAGGTTGGGCTCCAACAAGCGCGCCCTATATAATATACATGTTTTGGAGGGAACCACACTAAATCACAAATAGCACAATTTTTTTTTTATCATTAATTATTTTCAAAATATTAGAAGTACTGATAAAGAGATTCCACGTGTCATATCATATAGTATGATATACTATACTCTGTTGGTGTAAAATATGCTCCTTCAGGAACTTACCCAACCCTCAAGCTTTTGGAAATGGGAAGCTGCCCAACATGAATACTGCTTTTCTTTATTTTTTTCCCTGATGTTGTGAGCATCCTCTTTAAGAAAAAATGATATACAGAAAAGATGTAAGCTGGGTGCAGGGGAGGCATACTCTGCATGGTGTGCTGGATCGGTATCTTTTTTTTTCTTGGGATGGGGGTTGGGGTGACCACATGCCATCTTTATATGAAAGGAAAAACTTAAAATAGAGAGAAAAATCCCAATGGACCAAAAGCAGACTAAAAGATCTGTTGATCTTTGCCGGTTCCAAACTGGCACACTCTGGGTTGAACATTGAAACCCTTCAAAACAACTGGGTCATCTTTATAGTTTGCAGGAGCCAGTAACCTTGTAGAACACAAAACAAAAATAAGCTGTGGCACACTTGAACATTTCCATTTTGTAGCCCATTGTAAAAAAGTATTTCACATTACACATGTACATATGTAGTGAAAAAAACAGGACATTTCATAAGTTTCAAATGCACAGATCACAAATTCTTGTGTGTCTATTAACAGTTTCTTTATCTCTGTTATTGGAATGCTCAAACAGAATATAATGAATAATAGATTTGCCTAAAAACGGATTTTTCGTTCCAATATAATTCCATAGAGCACCAATGGAGGGCAGCAGAGAGACACTAGAATATAAACAGACAAATGTCAAACTGGACTTACTGTTAGTAATGTGGCTCTTGTAGTTGCTGTGTCATCTGCTAGGACTTTCTTTCCAGTAAAAGTATTCTTTAATTGCTTTCTCACTTCTTTGTTAAAGATGCAATGGAAAAAGAAGATGAAAAGCCCCTGCAGCAAATAAAAGGTGACATATATTTACTTTCTAATAGTTATACACACATTCAGCTTGAAAAATGAAAAGCAAAAGAATCACAATCACCAAATAAAATAAACCAGGTGTGTCTGTGTGCATGTATACTTATGGGCTAACACATTTATCATGGAGAGCAGTACACAGTGTACCCACGGATCGCAACCAGGATTTCATCTCCATTATCTGAACATATTAGAATTAAATCTGTTATTGGCTATCAGACTCTATACAATCATTACATACTGAACTATTAAATATGATCTATATCTGCAGTAGCCTGGTTTACGAATTTATATTATTATTGATATCCTATATTAAAAGTAAACATCATACCCCACACTTGGCTATCGAAAAAACCCTAACAAATAGATTCCCACTATGAATTTCTCCAGTGCAGTAAGTAAAGTCGTTATCAGTATAAAGATCAGCAGAGGTCAGGGGCAGTTTGGGAACATATATTACTGCTGCTGACAGAAACAGTCAGTGATAGGTAATTTAATGCTGTAGATGCAATTTAGCCAAAGCCATTAAAAAAATCTCACTATCTGTAGGTATAGAGACTACAGTGACCTGATTAAGGAGGCACAGGACATAAACACACATTCATATTGTGTATTTATTTTTATGACCATTATTGTTGCATATCATAGACAAATTGTGAAAAATACACATTCACAGAGATCTCAAAGCAAAAATCTTTTGAACACACACAAAGTGAAATCACTTGTCTGAACTTAGAAGAGACAGACTTCAGAAATAAGCCAATCAAAGGGCACAGTTAAAGATGGCCAAAAAATAGAACTTGGCACTCATAAATGTTAGTGGATCAACAGATTACAACACAGTAGATCGGACTGTGAGAGCGGATTGGGCAAATTACCAGCAGAACAGATCTGTCATTATTGGTTCATATCTGGTAGCGATGATACACATAACAAATCTAAAGACACTGATACAAGTTTATAAAATATAAAAAAAAATCTGTTAATATGTTACTCTTCCTAAACTATCAATCAGATGTCTGGCTTTATCTGCCTCATCTATTTTAGGAATACAGCACAGTATGGTCAACTTGCCTCAAATGCAGCCTCTGACATG